GTTTCAGTTCTGTAATTACTTGTGGTTGCGCTGTTCACACACACAAGAATCTGCTACTCTTAGTGTCTGTTGATGACAAAATCTGTTATAAAATCCGAAATGCTGAGCAATGAATAGCAACTTAGTTTGAGCACATTTGTTGGCACATTGTCTCATTTAATTGTATATGAAACTATCCTAAAGTCACATAATTATTAATTTAGTATTTTAAAAGCACAGTGTGTGTGTTATGTTTCTAAGGGGGATACTGAACCGTTGGAGTTTTAATTTTAGTTGATATCAACAGTGATCACTGAGTGTCACTGAGGCATCCCAGACTTCACAGGCATCTCTCCTGTCTGTCACTAGGGGGCGACACCCTGTACCGGGGGATTCTGAGTGTCCTTTCTTCTTCCTGTTGTTGTCATTGGTTCCTTTGAGTTAATCATTGTGGCCGCAGCATTTAAAAGGGGCATCTAGTCATGAGTATCTGCAGCTTTAACATTAAGATTGACCATGTGGACAGGACAGCCTGACGGCCTGCTGTAGTAAAACGACACTGGTGGCTGCATGTGACATGGTTTGTTCAGCTGGAGGAGCCGGTGAAGAACACACTGGAGCCTATAAAGTGAGACACACCGGGGCAGCCTTTGTTCAATTTCCTTTCCGTCAAATACAGTGTTGATGCAGTTTCTAATGTCTAACTTCACTCTAAAATACGCACTATATCCATCCACACTATCCATGGTCAGATACTTCTGACTGAACAAAAATTACTGCCTCTAATTCTTTCTCATAGCTATTTTTTGCATGTCAGTCTCATCACGCAAGTTTGTCATTGATCGTGAGAGGGCATGCCATATTAATTTGAGTGAGGGTCTCAGTGCAGGGATTACTGTTAACTCTGTGTAGCAAGTAGTATTTATAAGCCGCATTAAAGAAATACTTTACTCTCACACAGTGGCCAAACAACAGAAAAAGAAAAATAAGTCAGTTAAAACTGGGATGTGCATTTAGCTGTATTGAAACATAGTGTTACTAAAGGGCAGAGGATGTGACCATTGGGATATCAGACAGAGAACAAGTGCTGTGTCTACCAATGGTATGCCCTATCTAGAGTTGTTCCTATCCCGATACCAGTATTGGGAATTCCTCTGATTCTTCAGTATCAGAGGAATTCCCAATACAGGTGTGTTTGTGTCTTTTTTTTGCCCAGAAACAGGATATGCTACCTATTTTTTCCCAGGACAGGGAAGTAATGACTCAGTCGAACAAAGGGTTTAACCTGAGCCGGTACTTATCAGTCTTGTGTGTGTGTATACAGGAAGTGTTACATCTTCCATCCAAATCTACCTTCTTCTGTTTTAGACTCATAACTACATTAATTGTACATTGAGCTCTGAGTACTGCCAGAACACGGGTGACCTACACTCCATACTGTGCCTCAACACATCAGGAAGATGCTGCTGCTGTTGCTCACGTTACACCTCCTGTGTGAACACGTCAGCGTGGGTCAGCTGGGATAAAAATCAAAAAATGATGTTGACGGTCACTGAGTTGAGATCCTTGTAGAGTCACCAGTGACAGTTTTGTCTCGCAAGACTGAACCTGACATTATCAACAGTTTTCCACTCACACACACATTAACCACTGCCACTCTGACAGAGGCTAATATCTGTCTTTTGTGTCCTGTGTCCTCTCTGCAGCAACCTGAAGAAGTGCGAGGAGAGTGTGAATCGTGTGCAGAGTGAGCTGGAGGAGAACGAGAAGTCGATGGCTGAGCTCACAGAACAACTGAAGAAACTAGAAGAGGAGGCCGGGGAGATCATGAAGGCCTGTCAGGAGGCTGAGGTTGGCTCTTAATTCGCTTTATGTCTAAGACTCATTGTTTGTGTACAGATTTGCGCAGGAATATGTGTGGATATTTTATACCAATATATCCAAAAGTAGTAGTTTCCAGCTCAAAGAAGCATTCTTGATGGGTGTCCGGTTCGCTCAGTCGGTAGAGCTGGCGACCCACGTACGGAGTTGTTGCAGCGGCTCAGGTTCGAATCCGACCTGCGGCCCTTTTCCGCGTGTCATCCCCCCTCTCTCTGCCCCCCCTTCCTGTCTATCTTCAGCTGTCACTTTCAATAAAGGAAATAAAAGCCCCAAAAAATAACTTTAAAAAAAAGCATTTTTGACAATAGTTTACCATAAACCTGGTCTTCTTGCAGTGTAGATAGCTAGGACTGTGGATCTTATCATTTAAAGCTCTCACAATATGAGTTTTTAACCTTTTTAATCAAAAGAAACACTATTTACATTTTACCAAATATCTTACTGTCCTGCTTTACACCTTTTTTAAGAGAAAAAACCTATGTAAAGTATGCAAGTGATTTCTATGGGATTATGGCTTTGTGATGATAATTCTGGACTATTTCCGGGTTTAGTAATAGGAGTTTTTTCAAGTTAAACAACTTCATTACTGTAATTACTGTCTAAATGAATTTCAAGTAAACACTGAAATAAGTTGAGTACCACTGTTTTTTTCTTGTCCTCTAGGCCGCACTTCCTGAGGTGCAGGAGCAGTATCAGGGGGTGTTGAAAGAGATAAAGGTCCTGCAGCAGCAGGAGCACGCACTGCAGGAGGAGTCCCTCAGTGTCCGGCTCCGCATTGAGCAGATAGAGACCACCATCACTGAACACAACAACAAGATCAAACACTGGCAGAAAGAGGTGGGTGAGGAAGGGGTGTTTGTGTAAATTCAGGCTTTATTATTGTACCATAGAATTATTGTTCTCTTGGTAATGATTACATTACATTCACCATTACATTGTTAAGAACTGGGAGCTCAGGGACATTGATAAAATGGTTCCAGTGGAGTAACAAACACGATGCTTCATGTACTTTCTATTGTTTTGATTAGGGATGCATGATGTGGATTTTTTTTTCAGCTGATAAGATAACTGATATTTTCACATTTTGGTATTTTAAAGTTTATCAGCTATAGTTTATGCAAGAGAGAGGATGATTTAATATTCCTAACCAGCAATAACAAAAACAAAGAACAGTTCTGACTCACCAAATGTTAATTTTTTTATTTTCTAGTAAAATTCATCACATACAAACCTATCAATCATTTGCGTAAGAATTCAAAATAGGTTTTCGTTATTGACAGATTAATCGGCTATTGTAATAGATTTTTTTAATGATAAAATGTTCAAGATTTCGGATACAAACTTTGTCTTTCAGTGTTGATTGTTGTTTACATTCTTCAGGCCACCAAGCTGTCCCTTCATACCATCGAGGACAAGCCAGCAGAGGAACTCCCCGTTCTTAATTCTGCTGCACTTGAAGAAATCTCCGATCCCAACGTCATTATCAACAAGATGATCACGTTAGAGACTCAGTGTGCTCAGATGAAGCCCAACCTCGGAGCCATTGCAGAATACAAGAAGAAGGTGTGCACAAAATCCGACCAGGCGTCCTTCTAACATCAGGAGCTTCACAAATGTAGTCATAAATGAATCTTACACTAACAGTCAATGCACGTCCATGTGTGTGTTTTCAGGAGGAGCTGTACCTGCAGCGCGTAGCTCAGCTGGACGAGATCACTACAGAGAGGGACAGTTTCAAGCGCGGCTACGAGGACCTGCGCAAACAACGGCTCAATGAGTTCATGACCGGATTCAACATGATCACAAACAAGCTGAAGGAAAACTACCAGATGCTCACACTGGGCGGCGATGCGGAGCTGGAGCTCGTGGACAGTTTAGACCCGTTCTCTGAGGGCATCATGTTCAGGTAAGAGAGGAGAAAAATAAACTGGTTAAAGACCAGTGGCACATTACGATGACTCCCACTGACATAAGTGCTGATTTTCTCTCTCTCTCTCTTTAGCGTGCGTCCTCCAAAGAAGAGCTGGAAAAAGATCTTTAACCTGTCAGGAGGTGAAAAGACCCTCAGCTCCTTGGCTCTGGTGTTTGCTTTGCACCACTATAAACCCACACCGCTGTACTTCATGGACGAGATAGATGCTGCTCTTGATTTCAAGAACGTCTCCATTGTCGCCTGTTACATTTACGTGAGTATGGATCGGTGTATTTCGAGTGGTGGTGTAACAAGCCTCCTTACTGACTAACATCTGTCTAACTTTGAATCAGCTTTACTCACTAAAGACACTAAACGGGTGCGGTTGGATGATGCAGCGACCCAACATTATTGTATTAGCCAGAATATTTTAAGAACTGTGTAACTAATCAGTGCAGTAATCACTGACTCATGAGAGCTCAGTGTTTGTTGTGTAATAATGGAGGAGTTCAGAAAAATCACCTGTTCTTGGAGCCGGATCCAAACAAATTACAAAGCCAAACTGTTTGTCTCCACTGTGCCTGTTATTTTTATAGCCGTGTGGATAAATGTTTACTCTTCATGCTTAAGATGCATGAATCTGAATTTTTACTTTCCTCTCATCTGTGCAGGAGCAAACGAAGAACGCTCAGTTCATCATCATCTCCCTGAGGAACAACATGTTTGAGATCGCCGATCGTCTCATCGGCATCTACAAAACTCACAACACCACCAAGAGTGTGGGAATCAACCCCAAGACCATCGTGTTCAAAGAGCACGACGCTGTCACTGCTTAAACCTCAAGAATCTGATGAACTCAGGGTCATCTTTTCTGTTTTACTTTCCTTTTCACACTGTGTAAATATTTTTATATCTTTTTATCTTATCCTTTACAATGAAATGCTGCTATTCTTTACTATCTGATCCAATAAATAAATACGTTTTCTTGAATATATTTTGGCCGAGTTGTATTTAAAGATTGTCACTTATACTGTGTAAAAGCAGCACAAACAGTCGCTGTGTGTGTACACTGCTAATGTTCTGCACTGAAGTCGTGGTGGCTTGAACCTGTATTTCACACTGCGAAGACAACTGTAGCGAGCATCAGTTAATCGACATCACTGCAGCACTGACTGACCCCCAGCTCACACATGACTTTTGAAAAATGATGACTACTACAAAAACTAAAAGCATTTGAATACATTTATTATGACTTTCTTTTAAAATACAGGAACTGAGAATACATTTAGAAAAATACAACCACTGCAACAGGTCTGAGTCATGTAACACTTGTTCGGTCTGTGGTGTTTGCAGTAACATAGAAGATCCTAGTCTGCGTCATACCTGTACATGTAGACGTCTGACAGACGCTCAAGCTGGTGGTTCGGTCCGGCTAAAGAGTCTGCTTGAGCGAAATAAAGTAACATCTGTGGGACGCACTGGTAAAGCTTTTCCAAAGGCTATAATACGTTTTAAAATAGCTTAAAAAAACCCAGACGTATTGATCGTGGTGGAATTACAGTCCAGTACAATAAGGCTGTTAAGTGGAGGCTGAGATGAAGGCGCAGCGAGGGAGCCACTCGCTGCAACATGATCTGTGGTCCACTGTGTGTCTGGTTCCACTCACCAGGCTCTAAAGTTCACATACTGTAAACAGTCTTGTGTAAGGAGATACATGTGCAGCTGTGTACTGGTGTCCTGAGCTCTCTGACACAACGGGGAACGCTACCGAAGTGTCCCGCTGCATGATGGGAAAGGTTGACTTGAGAGTCTCTAGGCACCGGTTTAACGTTTCCATACTGAACACCTTTCCTTCTTTGCTCCGTGAAAACCTCGATCTATGTCCAAAAATAATGTTTTATTAGTGTTTGATAGGATAGACTATTATTAGTGACTACCAAAGAGGAACATAACACTCGACAATAACGCCATTCAATATATAAAAAGATTTACAGCTACATAAACTGCTCAAATTATAAAAAGAGCTTGATATCAGTTTTTTTTTATCTCTTTATCTGCTTTCCCCCGGATCTGCACGGGACCTCTGGGAATCTTTGAACTGAGGCCAAAGGGGAAAAAAATCCACCCTCAGATTAACATCATCATCTACATGTGACGGTTAATGAATGAAAACGTTTACGTGTGTGTGTGTGTCAGTTTTACCTAAACCGGCCTCGACTATCGGGTCATTTGTTTACTCGTTGCCTGGATTTGGTGAAGCATTAACAGCAACAAAAGGAGTAAAAAGTACCTGCAATGCATTGTGGTCCATTTACTCCACTGTTAGCACATAGGGTTCAGTGTTGGTCTAAAAAGAAATGCTTGTTTCACAGTGAAGCTAACAGCACAATCGGATTAATTATGTGTTCGCTATCAGACTTAGAAACACAACAACAGACGTGCGAAATCATGAATGGCGGATGTTCAAAGAGGGATTTTTAGGGTGGATTATTTCCTTTCGCTACAGGAATGCAGAAGTGAGACTTTCTCAATCTCCTCTAAATAAAAAGTTGATGGTTCCAGTTTGGTGTGTTTTCAGTGTGATGTCAGAGTTTTAAATGAGGCAGTCAGCTGCTGGAAGGCCTTTTCACCCACTGAGGAGAGGTGAGAGCTCCATCTGTCTACAGTGGCCTCCATCACCACGTATGCAGACCCCGCCGCGTCCCACACGGATGCGATCAGTTCGCTGCTGAGGCCGTGGACCAGCTGACTGAACCGGGAGACCAGAGAGAAACCGAGCGACGCCCCTCCGACCGGGTTGGCCCACAGCGCCACCGCCAGCAGCAGCAGCCCGAGCAGCACCACGGAGGTGGTAGGCCGCAGCTCGCACCACAGGTCCCGAGCCCAGCCGTCGGACCGATCGCCCTCGGCGTCTGTTTCCACACCGGCCTCCACGCCGCCACATCGGGCACAGCAGCACACCTTCGGGACAGGGGCTTCCTCCAGGCTCCCGATCGTCACCGCGGGCCAGTGCTGCCGGAGGTACTCTGCTGCCCGCGGGGTGACGGAGAGGTTTATCACTGAGGGCAGAGGGGTTGTGATAAACTCCTCCACCCTCTCTCGGAACAAATGCACCTTCTCCAGGAAGACGAGCGGCGAGTCCTCATCCTCTACTGATGAACCCAAGGACACCAGGTCCAACTGTTCTTCCTGCAGGAAACAACACTGTTATCGGTGCTACGGAAGACCAGTGGTGCTGAAACGATTCATCCATTAATCAAACAATTGTCAACCAAAGTACTCGAACAGTTAATTTAGTTTATCAGACAGGGTTGTGGGGCTACATTAGAGAAGAAAGTTGGGAACCACTGATGTGGATTCTCAATATGAGGACTTGTTGCTTTTCTCTGTTTTTTATTATTTAAATGTAATATTTGGGGGTTCTGGGGGGTCACCTTGGGCTCCACTTGTGATGGACATTTTTAATTATTTACTGAAACTTTTATACAGTAAATAATCAATAATGAAAATAATCATTAGCTGCAAACACACTGAAGCACTTTAACCTCAATTAAACATCCCAGAACAATTTGCGTGAATGTCAATGCAGCATTCACACTTCTGATTACCTTTCCATGCTAAAGTATCTAGTTTGTGGGCAGTAAACGTGTTCTATGATGTAAATCAGCCATTAACACACACACACACACACACACACACACACACACACACACACCTGTAGATCCTTCACTGTGTGGATGAGAGGGTCGTAGGCCCGGGACACCTCCGCACCGGCTTTATCCAGCGCCTCCAGGTAGGCCTGTCTCTTCCTAGCCAGCACTGCCTCCAGCGTCTGGAAGAACTGATTGACCTCCTGTCGGTCCTGCCTCACCAGACCATCACAGCGGGCCTTCTCCTGCTCCAGCTGCTCTCCCAGCTCACACACCTAACAGAGGGAAACAAGGAGAGTCAGTTTTCCGTAAAATAGTGTAAAATAAACACACCATAGAGAGTGTCCCCACCTGAGCCCATCTACGCTCAGAGAGTCTGGCCAGCAGCAGTGATGGGGTCTGTTTCTCTCTAATGAACGCTGCCTGCAGGTCGTCTATGGGGTGGCCCTGGTGCTGCCCGATGGTCAGACACAGCCCACAGATCAGCTGCCGATCCTGGATGCAGTACATGTTCAGAGGCTGCCTTTGGTGCTCCTGACAGGAAGGGGGTCGCGGCTCGCTGTCACTCTGGTACTGAGACAGCAGGTGAGCGGACAGGCATGCACAGACAGATGAGCACAAACAGAAGCAGCAAAGTATTTCCCCCCCCTAGTAAGAGGATTTCAGACTCATTAGTTAGTCAAAGAGTAAAAGTGATTTCTCTCCTACTTTCTCGATGATGGCCCGCAGCGATACGTTGCTGGGCAGAGCGTCTACGCCCGCTGGGGGCAACTCGACCACGCTGCGACAGTTGGGGCATTTTAGAGGCAGCCGGAGCGGACGCCAGATGGAGTAGTTGGTAGACACCTGGAGCAAGTTGTCCAGGCAGGTCTTACAGAAGGTGTGCGAGCACGGCAGGACTCGCGGGTCCGAGAACAGAGAGTAGCACACGGAGCACGTCAGGTCCTCCTCTAGGTTGTCCATGGTTGGAGACTAGAGTCCAGGCTCAGGACTGAGGGTTTAGGGAGAAGAAGATCTGGCAGGACAGCAGGATGGATGAAAAGCTACGTGTTGCACATGTTCTGCAAAATACAGTAACTTGCTACAACTGTGAATATAACCCAGTGATTAAAAAATGGGACAGAAAATCTATAGTCTTCTAATAAACAATTGTTTCCTTCATTTTCCCGGCAACACTTCTCAAGTGTGTAATGATTTTATGTTTTCCATTCTGTCATGTATGACTTCTTCTTCTGACATTTCACAGACAAGACTATTAATGAAGACTATATTAAATCAGATGAATCAATGGAAATAACCTTTAGTTGCAACCCTAACTGGGTCACGTCAAAAGCAAGATTTACTACACTCAGGTGTGATATTTTCATGACTGTGTAAAACCCATTTTTCATTACCATCCCCAGTCCTCCAGCCTGTGACTGTCAGCACAACAATCTGCTGCAGTCCAATACAACAGCTCTACAAAGTTTATAAAGTTCCCTGTATGTTGACATTGTCAGAAATCTATTAATTAAATGAAATGTTTACTGAGGTCAGAGCTAAAAGGTGTAGTACTAGACATTATAGATCATATTGAGGTGTTTTTACCTTACCTTCAACACAAAAGTAGACTTTACTATGGCAGAACTTTTGTATTGTATTACATTAGTGAATAATACTATTATTATTATTATTATTATTATCATTATCAGGAGGTTTAACTAATAGGGATTTCCCTCATTTAACTAAGTCTAACCAGTATGTGTGGGAGAGCTGATCCTGTACTGAACAACAGCCAGAAACCCGGCTCAGCTCCTGTTAGAGGATCACTTCTGTTGTTTTCTTTCAGTGTGTATGGGCTCTCTGTCCTCTGGTTACAGCCAGCACCGCAGTGACAATAGGAGGCCTTCTGCCAGCACCCACCCAGTCCCAACACACACACACATGCACAGACACAGACACACACTTTTTGTGGTCAGGACAGGCTGTTCAGTTGTGCAACCGTAAAACACCACCCCCCCAAAAAAACAAAAACCCTGATCCATTTGTGGAGTCAATGAGGCGCCCAGATTCAAACAGGTAACAGGTGTGTCAGGTCACTGTGAAGTTCATTTCAGCCATAGACACAAAGGGAAAACTGGAAACTGTACGCAGTGTTAGCAAAAAAAAAAAAAAACAGGTTGAGTTTAAATCTGTTGCACCAGTTTTACTCTCCTTAAGTTTGTTTTTCTTCACTAAAAGACACTTTAACTCACCATTTTCTTTCACAGGGTGACAACCAAATAAACTCAGTATGGAGGTACATGGGTGGTACTTTCAGTGACACCTCAAACAACCGGAAAATGTAGTGTCCACACAATACTGTGCCTTTTTAAAACACTTTATATAAACTAACTTCTCACTTCCAGAGAGCAGTAACGCCATTAGCCACATTATAAATGTTTCGGGTTCGTTGTTCGCAGCCTTTCACTTATTATCGTCTGTCGTCTCATCTGTTCGTTTAAGTCTTGGTGACACAATGTGCACAGTTTTTATAAAAAAGGAGGTTTTCAGCGAGAGATGTGCAGATTAAAAACTCACCGTCTGCTCGGAGCAAAGTGTCCAAAACAGAGCTTTCATTTCCTGTTCCTTCTCGTGCTGCCTTCAAGTGCTCTCAGTAAATTCCTGCTGCTGCAGAAACGCGGAAATACGGACGACACACACGCACGCACACACACACACGCCAAACTTTTGGGAGCACATTCAAGTGCACGCGTAGAAAGTCAGAGAAACGCGTGCTCTGAGATGTGTTATGTTATCAAGACTTTAGATGTTTAGATCTGCCTTATTTTCCGCAAATAATGTGCACATATATAGTTCACTTATGTAGTATGTCACCTTATTTTTCCATTATTTCAACCCCGGAACAAATCAATCGCTTCAGCTCGTATGAATGCACTCCGCCCGCCTCACTAAATTTCCGATAGTTCCGAATGCATCATTTTAAATTCCCGTAGTGCGCATGCGGACAAACGGTCGCCCCGGCCAACCAGAAGCCGCTTTTTCTCGATTTGAATTCAAGCTCAACCGTTGAGACAAACCATTTGGCTCTTTTACAGGTAAATTTCTTTTAAAAAACGAGGGAAAAACAAACAAACAAACAAACGCAAAAATGATTAATCACACCACTTCTCCACAACAGACCACACACACACTCAGTCTCCCGATTTGGGTTTCACTATTTATTTTTCTCGAAGACAACCTATCCTGTAGCCTATCTCCCAAAAAGTTGTTTTGGGGCAAACCACTCTTCTTTTTTTTTTTTTTTCTTCTTCCATGTCATAATTTTAGATTTGAAACCACATGTTTGCTAACAAGGAATGCTGCAAAAAAAAAAAAAAAAAAATTAATACCCCTATGTTCAACAGAAGGTGTATGAGCACAATGTGTAATCATTTACTACAGTGTTTGAAGTTAACACAAAAAATGGGTAAGGGTAAAGCAAGGGTAAGCTTGTACACCTAGCTGGTATAAGAGGAAAGAGGAGTATGGGGCTAAAGACTCTGCAAGGTACTAAAAAAGGTACAGCAAAACTTGTTCATGGGTTTATTTATTATTCAGGAGAACCCACTTAGGACAACTCCAGTCTGACATGTGGGACACCCTTTGACCTTGAGAAAAGGGAGGTTAAATCCCCTCGTCGTCTAGCTGAGATACATTAGCAGAATCATTACTGCTGCTCCTGAAATAAAGTAATTATTTTCTCAAGTATCACTAAAAAGCATCATTGGATTACTCTAGAAAGACAACAAAGATTGTGGTTGAGTGATGCATATTGTAGAGGTTGTTGGCAGGTCAAAACCTATGAAACCAAACCAACACACCTTCAGAAAGACTTCAGGCCTCACTTTGCAGTACATGTGCAAAAACCATAGATTATTTTAGCAAATCGGACACTAGTGGGGGGTAAGGGAAGGGGGAAACATGTAACATTTAAGCACAGTTTTACTTAAAATGAAAATTACACTGTATCCACAGCCTAAGGAAACTAAAATACCCTAAAAAATAACTGTGCTATAGTTTAGTACATGCAAAGGTTATGATTCACAATCCTACGTGAAAATGGCCGTTGTTCTCTTCTCCCTTGGTGATAAGTCAAAAAAGCTATGGCAACAATACTGCAAAGCAGTGATTTTGCTGTAAATTGAAGGAAAAATAATGAAGTGGTGTTGGAGGGGAGGGGAACAGGTCATTTGGTTGATTATAGTGATGGTGTCAGAATTTCACAGCATCAAGCCCATGTCTGGTGCGTAGGTTAGGGTTCTGGCGTGAGGGTGGAATACGATCGTCGTCAATCACCTTTTACAGAAGCAATGAAACTAAAAGCTGAAAATAAAAAAAAAAGTATCATAAAAAGGAGAACACACTGGAGGCAATAAAGAAAAAGCCCAAAAAGCCACCAAATGCATCTTAATACAATGCACTGCTGCTCCACACCTGCCAATAGCATTGTCCAGTGTCAATTAATACTAACTTAACAATAATTCAAAAAAAAAAAAAAAAAAGAAATCCTTGTGATGACGATGATTTTTTTTTTTTTTTTCTCCAAAGTTCTTCCTTTCAGGGATTTTGAGGATCAGCCTCTCTCTCAAAGGCAGAATTTCTTTCCTGAAAACCTTTGCTAACCTCATTGTTGCGTTTCTCAATTTAGTTTCTCTTCAAGATGTTGTTGTTATTTTGTTTTTGTTGGTTTTTTTTTTCCCGTCTCTGCATGCGTTCTCACCCAGTCTTGCATACTCCCAGTCACGCACGCAGCCAAGCACACACAACTCATCCGTCCATTCTCTCGCACATGCGACACGCGCAGCCGGACTCCTGGCCCCGCCCACCAGGGGGAGAGGATGGTGCCCTGTTGGGGGGCGTTTTTTTCGTTGGAGGAGATGAACCTGGCTCCTCAGCACTGAGTCCAGACATTCATACACAATGGGTCCATTCACACACATGTCTGATAGCGTGGCCGATTGGGGGAGGGGCACATTGAGGGTGGCGCCCTCTCTAGTCGGAGGACCGCAGAATTGTGATGGTTCATGGTTCATCTCAGTTCATAATTAAAGTTATATTCATTTCTGCATTTTGTTGTGTTGTAATATTTCAAGATCTCTTGATTTCTTATTTTTGGATGTCCTTGGTTCTCCCCGGGCAGACATCGAGTTTTTTTTTGTGTTGTCATTTGAAGTAGTTTTCCGAAGACGACAGCTCCAATAACGCAGAAGTTATGTCGGCATGTCTCTCAACGCATTCGATGTAGATGTTTTTGCTTTTTTGCAACATGTAGCCACTCATTCTCACTCGCACCCACTCGCCATCTCAAACTTCATTTGGGCTGGTTCCCCTGGAATGCCAAATGAAATCCACACATTTTTCTCTCAGATAAGATGCAGCCATGGATCCCACGAGCCAAGCACAATGGATCAAATTTCTCACACTCTCGCTCTCTCTCGCTCTTTCTCTCCTAATTTTTTATGTTGAACAGAGTGCTGCATCGTGAACAAAACTCCAGAATACCCCAGATGCCGTCTAGAACTGGAATCCCTCGGCTGGCACGTTGGCTGAGTTAAAGCCATAAGTTCCACCCTGGATGGCCTCTGGGACCAGGCTGGTGTCTTCATCAATCTGGGAGAATAGACGAAGCAACAGGGGGGCGTTAAACAACATACCCGAAATGTGATCGGTTTAAACTTTCACCGCAGAGAAACTTCCAAGAGTAAAAAGAAAAACACACCACTACTTGTTACTTACATCATCAGATGAGAAGAATTGATCAATAATTTCGTATGCCAATTTGTAGATGTCTTCATTTTCGTGATTCTGCAGTTGCTCCACTTTTTCCAAACCTGAGGAACAAAAAGATAAATAAATAAATTGTACGTAACTCAATCAAACATGAACCCCTGTTAATAATAACCCTGATGGTCTGAACTTACCTCCACATTCCTCAATAAGGTTAGCAATCGTTTCGGCCTCATCGTCCGCCATCTTGAGGATATTGCTGAGGCCGTCGAGAACAACCTGAACGACCTGGGCATCCTTCACTGTCAGCAGGTTGCAGAATGGAGGGATCACCTGCTTCTCAATAAGGTGTGCCACCTGTAGGCCAACAGAAGGACAATGAGGAATATTCTCCAATCTGACATGTTAGAGTTAGATGTCGACATTCACAGTTTCTAATGTAGTTTTTGTTGATGTTGTTTTCTAGATTGCATTCGATTTTAGGTCAAGTTTACTCTTACCAGATGTCTGTTAAGTCCAAAGTAATTATATCAGAAAACTAATTGGAAGCTAAAACCTTTAATAGTTTTATTTTTTTAGTTTGAGATCAATATTTTAATATAATGAAATTGAGTTCAACTATATTGCCGACAACTCTCCCTTTTCTTCAGTTTCCATTTTTCATGACTCAGTTTCATTCTCATTTACTGCAATCAAAGATTTTTTGTTTGAATAACAATTTAAATAAAAATTATTAAAAATTATATAGTAATGGTTTTTCTTGAGTAAAGTGTAGATAACAGAGCAGTTGAGGGAGTAAATGTGATTAGTTAATTCTTACCTGATCTTTTCTCCCACTTATTGTCAGGTTGCTGATGGCCCAGGCTGCTTCCTTCTGAGTGCCAAAGTCACCCTAAAAAAATATATGCATTCAAAGTAAGAATTATTTCCCTACATGCTCTCCAAAAACCATCAACATGTACCTTTCACAGTTTATAAAGACAATAGATACGCACCTTGTCGAGCAGGTGAATGATCATGGGGACTAGCTTGGCGTCGATGACAGCCTGCACCTGCTGCTGGTTGCCTGCTGTGATGTTGGACAGGAACCACACTGCCTCCTACAGGACATAAAGCACAAATACAAGCGTAAGCTGCAGGTTTCTACTGTGGAGATGTGCAAGTTGAGCCATGGAGCTTTACGTGCACACAGGTTAAACCAAAGAAGCAAGGTGATTTTATTGTCACACATTCAACTAGACAGGAGGAACTTAAAAAACACACTTCAGTTCCTGCGTCTGAACTGGATCAGAATCCAGAGGTCCACTCCGAGAGTCTGACCTCTGGTCGAGACAGAGCGCTGTGGGAGGGGCAAGGGCGGTGTTGAGGCTCTAATCATTGACCGGGTCACAAGAGGGGGCCCCATTTGTAAGTGACTGGTCTCAGATGCACTCCGATATCAGCAGAGACACAAGGTCTTCAGCACCCTCTGGCCACCAACCCATAGTATCACACATTCAAATCACTCGCACACAGATAACCCAACCCCCCAACCCCCCAATCTCGCTAACTACAACTAGCCAAGGGGGTCCTCTTCATCTTCTTCGTCCTCGCGATCCTCCATGTTGCTACAACTAGCTATCTGTCCCATCTCTACCTTTCACACTAGCATTCATACTAGCACTGTGTCTCTGATTTCATCACTTCCAGACGATACATCTTGCAGTAGTTTCAGATCAACAGAGGGTGCACATCAGTGCGTGGGAGGAGGAGAACAGAGAACGTATTATTACCTTGTTGATTTTCTCCTTCGGGTGTGTGAGGAGTGCAGGGAAGTGGCTGAGAGCGTCACAGTTGAGCACCACCTGGGTCTGTTCATCTGTGCCAGTCACTATGTTCCCAACAGCCCTCAGGGCAGCAGTCTGGATGTGGAGAGGGGAATGTTAATAATATAACTGATTTACTGATGTAATCAGAAATATAGTCAGTCTCATCTCTAATGCGCCTCCATACCAGAAGTTTTATTCATTTAATTCTAATCACAATCAGTCTCCTTCACTCTTTTCATACCTGAACTTTGACCTCCTGGTGACTGAGCAGAGGTACCAGATGAGGGACGATTCCAGAGTCGATGACCATTTGAATCTGCTCGTTCCCGGCGTCCGTCAGATAAGACAGAGCCCACACTGTGTCTACCAAGATCTGGAGACAGTAAAGAAGGAAAGAAACTAATGAACATATTCTCCTTCCTGCACGATTTCTTAAACTAGTTACAAATTATTTGCTGGGGAATAATTTAATGATGTCAAAGCACCGGATCCTGC